CACACGCACACACACTCACATATCGCTGCACGGCTTCTCCCTCTTTAGTGTCTCTTTTTCGCCCAGTAGCCAAGCCGCCTGACCGGAGCACCGAGCAGAAAAACACTCGCGCACGCCTGCGGCCGGGAGTTGAACCCGCCCCGCCTCGACCCGCCTCGCCTCGCCGCGACGCGAGGGTCATCGGTTGGTACAACTCGGCTTTTAATTGTACACGAGTTGTCAACCCGTCGGTCGCACGGTTTCTGCAGGAGGACTGTATACCTGCCCTCTGCTGCATTGCACTCGGCGCGCCCCTTTCTCTGCTTCCATAGAAAGAGATAGAAGTTTTATAATGACTTCGCATGTTGTGCGAGTATAATTTTCAGTGCCGTACGTCGCATGCTCAACAAACTTTCGCCCCCTTTTGGCCGGGGTGGCTGTTTTCCTCGTTTCTGCGATTCGTCTCATCGTTTCTCTCGGCCAACTCCACGGCGGACCCTCCCCCTCCCCCAATCTCACTTCACTCCACGCGCTCGCCTGCTCACTTGTTGCTTACAATGAGTCTCCCCCGCCGCTCCTCCTCCCCCTCCGGCTCTCTGATGACCTGGCTTGGGCCTGTGGGGTGGTCGGAGTGGCCGCGAGACGCATTTCGGCTGACTGGTCTAGTTATTCTATCCCGTCGTATAACCACTTCACTGACCTTCTGGCCATACTACTCTGATCAAGTCGTCCAGCCCAAATACGGTTTCTTTTGCAAGTACAGTAGTTAACCAGCTCGCTGTTTGTGTTGCAGATGCTGTCGGTGGACGGGTCGTACCCGCTGGGCAGGCTGCCCGTCGGGCTGCCCGGCCAGCCCGTGTTCCTGATGGGCAACGGCCGCCACCAGGGCCTGGGGCCCGAGCACGCCGTCGGCCAGGAGGTGGACCTGGACCTGTACAACCCCGTGTACGAGGAGCTGTCGGGGTCGCGGGCCGGCTCCGAGGACGAGGACCTGGACGAGTCTGACTGCGGCGGTGGCCGCGGCCCGGGCCGGGGCCGACGGCGCTCCCTGTCGCGGCCCGCCAGCGAGGACGAGTTCGCCGAGGACGAGCTGAGCGTGGGCGAGGCGGACCGCGCGGGCGCGCCCGACACCCGCCTGGGCGGCTCGCACGGCGCGGCCGCGGCCACGCCCAACGGCGGCGGCGACCTGGCCAGGGACGTGGACTCGTCGGACGCGGACGACCGGAGAGGGTGAGTCTCGGCGGGTGAGCTTGTCAGTGCACAAGCCCAAAGACAAAGGAAAACTAAATTTTTGATTTTATTAAAACCCGAAAAATTGTATTAAAAAATCGCGAAAAAGAAGAAACAAATTTGTGACAACGCGATGATTGTTTTGTTTTAATCCCCGTCGCTCCGCTCAGCAGGTTCCTCACGCAGCGGGTGCCGCGGAGCCACAGCTCCACGTCGGACCCGAGGCGCGGCCGGTCGCTGGACAGGCGGCGTGGCCGGCGCCACCTGCAGCAGCAGCAGCAACAGCTGCAGGCGCTGCAGCAGCAGCTCAAGCAGCAGCAGCAGGTGCAGGCCGGGCGGACGACGGCGGTGGCCGCGGACGGCTCCGACTTCCACGAGGGCCTGCTGCTCGACGCGCTCCTGCAGATGTACCCCACCCAGGGCGCGGCGGCAGCACACGCCGGGACGCACGGCGCGCGCCAGCAGGGCCGGCCGCCCGCGCGGGGGCCCGGCAGGGGTTCCAGGGGGCCCCAGCGGGGGCAGCAGCAGCAGCAGCCACCCGTACCGGCAGTCGCTCACAGGTGAGTGACAACCAAAGCAGGACACACACATTACCGTTTTCTGGTTGTCTTTAAAATTTCTGAAACTTATTGACGGTGTCTGTTTGCAGACTGCCTTACCTGCTGCCGCCGCCCGCTCAGCTCGCCCACCAGTCCAACCAGCAGGCGCACCTGTACGAGAGTCCCGGCCTAGTGAACCCGTACGAGTCCGTGCCCGTGCTGGGCCAGCTGCAGCAGCTGCAGCAGATGCAGCAGATGCAGCAGCACCTGTCCACGTTCCGGCCCAGCGCCAGCCACGACTCGGACTCGGGCTACAGCAACAACACTTCGGGCGGCCGCGGCTCCGGCTCCGGGCACAGCTCCGGTCGCAGCCGCGCCGACCCGCACTCGCGCCTGTCCGCGCTCTCGGACGACATGGTGCTGTCCTAGTCACTCTGACCCGACCCGACCCAACGGCGACCTCGCCCCGATTGATGGATGATGATGATGATTCCTCGGATCTACTCGAAGGCCAAATCATGTCAATACTTAAGCACGCACCAAGTCCTGTCTTGTGTAATTTTTTCTGTTCTGGATAATTTTAATTCTGATAAACATTGATAACATTGCTGACAATGTGCTACAATTAAATCAACCAGGAAATTTGAAAATCAAATTTGGTGCTCAACTTTCCTCGTTAATTTAGTTATCTTGTCACAAGTAAATTTTTTGTTTCTATTTTACTTCCTATAAGTGGTTTAACCAAATGGGTAAACACATTCCACATTCCTATAGATCATGATAAGCATTACAACCAACTTGGTCGCAACTTGATAGCCAGACTGATGGCTGATAGCTTTATTGCGGCATGTTTAGGAATTGGCTCAGCACCAACCAGGCGATACAAATTGACTTAAGTTTTGCTGTGTTTTGGCATTTCATATTGAGGAAGTGTGATGAACTCGAGACCAAAGAAAGATGTTTGTGAGGCAGGTGTGATTGGTGTTGTATAGTAACGTCTTGCAATGATTTTTGTATATTTTTGTGCAACTTGGAAGTTGGCGCTGCGAAGTCTGTGATCTCTTTTACCTTTTCTTGGGGTGGGGCACCACTGCTCACTGCTTGAGGAGTGACATATTTCCGTCATACACGTGGTAATTTCTTTGCAAATCCTATTTTCTTCCTGTTTTCATTTCACTCTTAAATGAGGGTACTTTTGTGCTCAGTTTCTAGTTTTAGTGATAGAGCGCATATCACATGGTATGCAAAACTTTGTTGTTACCACTTCCCAAACTTAAATTTTGCGAATTTTTTTATTTTATCGTTATTTATGTTCAATTGTTTTCAAGATTTATCGAAATATCTCAACGATGTTTGAGAATGATACAATATCAGTACAACATAGAAATCTTCATTTCTAAAGAAACTTGAAAGATCAATACTTTGGAGTGGGACAAAATAGATTCCTTGATTTGTTTCTCAATTCGTACTTTTTCCATGTCTGACAATGTTCATGCTTTGGTTACCATACTTGACTGACTTATTTATTACTCAAATAACTTCAATATTAATTGATCTTTGATGGTTTTCATGACAGTATTGTGTGCAGTATTTATTTTGTGAAATGTGAGCTACTATGGCATGAATGGTTTGTTTCCCACTCGATAATTTCCTTCAATTACCTTTATTTTGTCAATTTTTTACTCTGTGTCTGTTAGTAATGTGTCCTATCACACTCAGTGAAATATTGAGTGTTTGTTAAATGTACATACTTTGCGAAACGTTTGTAATGGATTATTGTACATAAAACCATACAGATATTTTATTTGTAAAGTCTCGTATTCTAACAATACTTTCAAAAGTATCCGAGCTAGTCCTTAATTGATTTATCTTAAGCACTTGCTAAGAATTGGTTTAAGTTAAACATTTGATAAAATATTCCTTCACCTAAATAAAAATTTCATATAAACAAAATATCAGTGATTTTTGACCTTTTCATTTCATTGCTAACCCCTATCCATATCCACACAAAAACAAGCAGATCTGGAAGGACTTGTGTCAACTTGGAAGTGAAAGAGACCAGGATCGCCCCACGACACACTCGGCGAGTCTACTCGGCCGGAGGCTCGGAAGCTATTGCTCGGTGGTGTGGTTGGTCTGTCCTTGTCGAAGGATAATGCCCTCAGCGACTCATCTTACAAACTTTGCTCGACGCAATCGACGCAATCGACGCAATCGACGCAATCGACGCAATCGACGCAATCGACGCAATCGACGCAATCGACGCAATCGACGCAATCGAC